ATGGAATCCATTTTAATTTTATTGGATTCAGTTCAATATTTCTGAAGTCCGAACAAAAGAATTCTTTTTTTTGAAATATTGATTTTAAGAGAACCAAAAGGAAAGACGCCGGTACATTTCCATCGCTTGCAACTTGGTTGATATTATTATTTCATTGAAAGAAATCATTTGCCGTATCTACGAAAGATATGTAGCTTGTGAATGAAAAGCAAACGTCAATGGATGCCTGCAAAAATAATGGTTACATCAGACTCCGGCCTGTTTGGCATCCACTCAGTAATATTGCATATAAACGAGGCATGAGCCTCAGCGTGTTGCATAGAATTGAGGTCAACTCACGTGCGTAAGTAAGTCAAGTTTATTTGAGGAAAACAATGTAACTAAAATGTGGCTGTTTTAAGATTAAATAAATTCTTTACTACAAAAGGTAAGACTCCGGTGGCGAATCCAGCATTTACAAAAAGTGCGCGGGTGTGTGCAGTCGTGGCATACATATTGTGGACCTCTGCACAAAAGATGTCCACATAATGTAGGGTATGTAGAGTAATGTAATGTTTTCCGCTCTCTGAAAAACAGTTTAAGAAGCATTATTGGATCAAGGTTATCTTTAGCAAAATGAACAGGAACAGTCCAAGAAAACATCATCAAAAATCCAGTTCGAAGAAGTTATCCTAGTGGGAGAAAAAGGAGCATTTTCCTCAAGTTTCCTTAGAATTTTCCTCAAGTTTCCTTAACCACAGGAAAACAAAGGAATGTCCACACTTTGGATACAAAACAGGTTTGGGTGCATGTGTGTGGATGGGTGGGGGTATTCACGAATGGACTGGATTTGAGTCGGACTCTAAATATGTTTATACTCCACAGAATTCATATATGGCTCCAGAATGCCTGCAAAAATGTACAGTAGCCTAAAAAGTTTACGTGCCTGCAACTATAGTTAACTATAACAGTACAGATTCATATTACCGAAAATGGGTCACTTGGGAGACATTCCCATAGGAACGTGCACAAAATTTTTCAAACTTTACCCATAATTCAATACTCCCTAATCCGATCTTAAGCAAACTTTGCATGTTTTCCTTTCAGACCCTAATCTATCATCTCTCATTAGGGACACATTGAAATGTGTCCCTAATGACCGATGTCTCCCTAATGTCGAAAAATTTACCACAAAATGTCTCCCAAGTGACCTATTTAGAAATATTGAATGAACTTTAAATACATATAATACATTGGTTTCATTCCAGCTTACACACAATTGTTGAAAACCATGGAGTCTGGCGCCAAATTTGGGTGGGAAACTTTCGTGTCAAACAAAATCAGCAAATCAGGCTGACGACACATGAGATGAAAATACAAAAATACAAAATTCGAACACTCAGATTGTCCACCGACTGAATTTCCATCGCGAGTTAATATTTTTCAGCATGGACTTTTGGTTTACCCTCATTCACCGAGAGTGTTATGGTGTACCTCAAAACACAGTTCACGAAAGCCGGCGCACGTCATCCATGGCTCGTGTCACGTGATTTCATTTGAAGAGCAACACATCCAGCACCTTATCCCTTAACATTAAGCATTTGTTTTGCGTAAAAGGCTTCTACATAAAGTGGACGTTTGCGAGACAATCCAGGCACCTTCAGACATGTCATAGACGCCATGCGCCTCTGATGTATTTTGTTTGAAGGGGTAGCCGTGGCGAATAACTATTCCTTCGGTTAAAATTATGCAAGCCACACCTTATGTGTGTTCAACCCCCCCCCCGATCTGCCCCTGGACGCTTCACCCCAGTTATTCGACGGGGGAGGGGTGACATACGTAAGGTCTCGGTGAATCTGGGTCTTATAAAGACAAGGGCTTATCGATTATGGTACCATGCTCTGTGCTGATGAATTGTTAATTTAGCAGTATTATTCTTATAAAATATCTTGACCTGTGTTGAAACACCTTGTATATGCATTTACACGAAATTCAACATGAAGAAATTGAATTAAACGCCGAAGTCTCCAAGGCAAAATAATTTTGCTTTTATATATTAGGAACATAAATGGCCAAAATCATTTGTAGGATAGGCCTATGTGATGTGATCGGAAGCCTTGTTTTATACTCTAATTGCACTTCTTTAAAACTTCTCAGAATTACCTCCCCATTCACCCCCGCGAAATCCTGCGTAACTGAGATATGTACATGTATGTCCAAAAGGAAACCGTGAAATGTGTACATAATACCATGGAGCTACGAACAACCTTCCGTGTACATGATGTAGTGTACCTGTATCTTTCGAAGTCCATTCTCCCACTGTTGTCTGAAGACACGCAGGGTTGAAGCCTGCAAACATCTTTGTTGGGGGCATTTACATCAAAACGATTCCATTTCGACCAAGTAGCCAAGGCGTAATTGCGACTTTGCCCAATATTGTTGAAATGTGATGAACCATGAGTAAGCCTATTTAGGCGTGCAGATTGAATATACAGAGGAGTCCGAAGTCCAAGATTCGCGCGCTAGCAGGGGACAATGCCTGCATCCGGCCTAGCCTTTTCCTCAATAATGTTCAATAATCACTGCATTCAAAATCAATCAAGCTTTAAATACGATTTCGGAATTGCTGATCTCATTAGTTCTTTCATTTAACTTGTATTCAGCGTAACATGCTGAATTGTCTTATGGAAAGGGTGTTTTGTAACTTGTCCCTCAAGCTAGACGCATCTTCAGTGCTGAAGATGTCATAGATAAGTTGTCAGTAAGGTCGTTGTCCGCATTAGTTCTAACTGGAATGTGTCGCAAAACACGGGCACCAGATTACTTCATGAACTCACGGAAAAAGCAGAGCTCCAAAGTCCTGAAATCAGCTGTTTGTGTAATGTAACTTATACATCTGGCCTGTGTACATTCAGCTTGTTAACGCCACACTTCGCATTTCAAAAGGACCTACCACAAAAACAAGGAGACAGTAAAAACGACGGGAAGGCACGCGTGAAATTATTTAGCAATAAGTTGTTCCTGTTAATTAGACCCAAGACTGTTTGTTTATTTTTGACAAATAGAAGGTTGTTTGTTGCTCAACGTTGAGGGTTGGATGAAACTCAGATGAATGGGCATAATGGGCGGATGTCTTTTGGAACTAGAAGGTAAAACACCACAATGTGTAATGGCATGCGGTAAATGAAGAAAGAAAGAAACTGACTCCCCAGGTATCATTATGTGTTTTTTTCATTCAGGGTGGCTGTTTGTATTCTTGAAGATGTTTTCTGATAGTGAGCCGCTGGAAATTACTCTGTTTTGTAAGCGGCTACAGTTGGGAGGACCTTTTACTTATTGAGGTTGACTGCCTCTTTACGGCAGGCTCCACCGTTTAGACATTATTGCTCCTCGGGGAAATAATAATAGTAATAATTATAGTAATATGGGTTTTATACATATATATAAAGTTAAGGATTTACTTTTTGCAGGGTTCAGACATTCCTCAGTAATATCCTGTGGGGAGACACGGGTGAATCAACATCTTGTAAAACACATACTTTCTGGTTTACATCACGACTAAGAATAACCTGTAATACAACGTTAAGAATCACATTCCACCACAAGCAGTGGCCCATAAATTGAAATCTGGTCGATTCTGCTATAGGCCCTATTAAAATTAAAACAAATTCCTTCAATTGATTGTGGATCAAATCTGAGGTTAAACCAGAAGAGGAGCACGAATGAATTTAGCCTTGGGCATTGACAACATCGGTGTCAAAATTTGCTAGTGAATTAAAATGCCAATTTTTTTCAATTCACTGAATGCCTCGAGTGGGACACAAAATAGGCTTCGTCAGTTTAGAAGATATACTTAATGAATTAGAGAATACAGTTTTATGCAATAACTATGTTTTAATTACTTTTTCATTGTGCCTTTTTGAAATGGCCAACAAACATGCACTTTATGTTATACATTGCAATGTAATAATTGAAAACCTCAAAACGAGATCTTAATGACGTTAATAGCCAACGGCAGACCCAGAACTATTTTTATGGGGGAGGCGGACTTTTTGTGGGGCCAAAAACTTCGAAGATTTTTTTATGTAACCTTTCATGTCCTGTCTAAGGGGCAAGGCTACATTTGGGGGATTTTTACACTCAGTTTGAAAGGAAGTGAAATGAAACAGGCCACGTTATTTTTTTCGCAAGAAGGTTCCCTTCTGGGGACATGGCCCACATTACCCCTGGGTCCACCCTTGTGAATATCCTGTACTTTAGCCTTAAAAGGACCTACACATCAAAGGTGCATTCCAATCGGACAAAAGTGTTGTTGAGGTGATTAGAACTTCAAATCACAAGCCTTGAATTAGTGCTTTGCAGGATATGAAAAAGTAAAACTACGTGAAAAAGTTGATACTTTGCCAGAGTATGTCCAAATTGCACAAATTTGTGTCATAGCATATTAAGACACTTCTTTTAGTTTAACAGAAGAAATTCCAGGACAATGTGCTGGGTGGCGCCTCTCGGGGTTAAGGTCGTAGTTGGCTTGATTTAAAAGTGGTAAAATCATTCTGACTTGTTTCATGGGATGGAGTATTTTTAAAAAAGGTTTGAGCTCAGTAGTGACAAATGCTTGTAGAGTTGAACTCGTGATTGATAATGTGAACATCTCATTTTTACAAAGATGTGGGGTGGCTTTTTGTTCAAAATAAAAATCCATAAGAGGCAGCAGACATAGTTTCATCAACCAGCGTTAGGACAACAATATGACATTTTAATAAATATCCATAGTTTTGGGTCTGGAGTCCACGTTTGCCCATACATGTTCACTTCAATTTAACGCTGCCAAAGAGGTTTAACCACATAAGTTGTCAACAACTGGCGCATGGCTTGTTTTCGTAGTTTGTACACCGTCGCCGAAAATAGCCCGGCATAAGTACTGTCCTTCTCTTATCAGATCAACACCACACGCCACACACGTGGCTCTCTTACAGCGAGCCTCTTTAATGAAATTGTTTTCTCTACTTTTTCCATTTTAGATGGTGTGAATGACTGTACCCTGATCTTTGAGTCAACACGCTGGCAGATTCAGGAAAGACTTATCTTGTCAACAATGTCTCTTCAGCCAAACAACATGTAGCACGAATTTGATTATGAGCCCATGAGTGATATAGAGGAGACTCACTCGGCCAGCTGCGCCTATGTCATGTTCGTATCATACTTTTAAGTTAATAATATAGGACTTCAGATTTCATTTGACATGTTTTAGATTTGATATGAATATTCGATTAAAGGCACCATGTTGACCTATACCTTTAGAACATAAATTTAGAATGTGTGTAAAGATTACAGCAACTGGTTTTTCAGACTTGTCGGACATAAATGTGAAGTAATATTTTCTAAAGCTAAAGGTAGGCCTACATGCACGTCATTTTAGATAAAACTGTTCTTAAATTTCTGAAAAATTTAGCAACACCTTTTTTCTTTTGTAGAAGAATACCACGATTACATAGGTTCTGGGGCCTGGGCCCCAGTATGTCTACAGAATTCTTGTTCAGTTTAAAGTGGTTTGTCCTATGGTGGCATTCATCGGATTTAATTGGACTTACGAAAGGTTTTTTCACCGGCAGATTCAAACTTGCACGTGAGAAGTTGGTCCTCTCGTTTTTATTGGAACAAAAAGGGGACACAGGGAAAATGAAACATCTCTTTTCAACAGACTTAACATGAGCAAGTAACAGGGTGGGTATTTTTGGGAGTGAGGGTTGGGAGTGGTTGACTGATGTGGCTAATCACACTCCCTCTTCTGTCCGTCCAATCTTACCTGTGTGCATAATGCTGAAAGACTGCAACTCCCTTGCATATTATGTTACGCAGTTGTGCCACACGTTTCACAATGGCACGGGTTTTTAGGTTCAGTGAATGAGTCCTTCAATTTATGTGCGCTGACCTCAACCACACACTTACCTTCCTTCGAAAAAATCCTAGATCCACTAATGGGATGCATTTGAGGATGTGAAACGTACGCCATTCGATCAGTTAGATCGAAATGGTAATGATTAAAAAGGTAACTACATGCTCACTGGATATGAGGGTTTTAGACTGTGACCCACGATCAAAATTATGTAAATAAGACTAACAACATTGGCAACGAGCCAACTAGCATTTTCATTCTGTCGATTTTTTCCATAAATTGAGAACTTTATGTAATTAAGAAGTACAGCATGAGTGGTGATTAAGCACTTTGATCTGCAGGCAGGTGTGAGCGGCTTTTTGCCCTGGTAAAGTGTTTACTTGCATGGATAGAATCATACGATTGCCGTCTCCGGAATATGTCTGGGTGCATGCCGTATTTACCACCCAACTAAAAAGGCGGGAGATTTCGTTATCAATCTAACGGAATGCTCGTGTATCTCGAGTGTACCAGGTGTGCAAATATTACCAAGGATGGCAGAATCGCATTAGAACACCACCCGCGTCACATCGTAGAGTCAAGATAAATACTAATTGTCTGCCTTCAGTATAAAATAATGCATGCAACTGATGAATGACGGAAATGAATCAGAAAGTTGCAGTCTTGAGAAACTTAACTGTTACGTCGTTCTTCATTCGTCGTAAAGAATGATTTTAAGATGTTTTAGGGGCTAGTGTACTTTACCCTAATTTCGAGAAATTTCATCTGAATTTCGCTCTGAATACGTGGGTTTCGTGCATTCCGATGACTCAAGGAGTGATAATCTTTTTTAAAAATTCCATTTTAAAGTTTAATTTTGTCTTTAGGGACGTTCAAACGTCGTTACATATACTCAGAATACACAAGAACATGCCGTATTGGGTTCAATTTGTCAAGCTTCACTTTTATAACTGCGTGTCTATCCCTTGTGTGAGTGTACAATAGTTGGATCATTTGTTTGGCAGTTCAGTCCGTTTATAGTACACGTATAAAAAGAGCAGGTGTCCTGATCAAACTTTGCTCTGTTATTGTGGCTGAGTCAGTCGACTTGTTGACGACCGCTGTTATTTTTCTGCTAGTATTATTTCACTATTATTGTGTTAACGTAGGCATAGACTTTTCTCGAGTGTTGAAGCGATCCCAGTTCAGCTTGACTGGACTTCAACATACACACCCGGCGATGTTAACTTTGCAAGCAGTTTGAAGGAAGGACAGCTGACTGTGGTTGATGGTGCAACATGTGCCCTGTGTTGGATTTCATGTGCAAAATAGACCTCGGATTCCGCATTTAACAATGATTTTGAATGTTCCGTAGTAATTGTTGTATTGACTAAGATAAATAAAAACCTTACGGCTGGGGGTCAATGTGTGTATATTATTAACCGAGTTTACCTTGCATCAAAATATCTGTCAGTATTTCCGCAGTAAAATGTTGGAAACATGTACATTCATTTGCATTCGTTATGTTGTAAAACGCGTTCAGATTCAATGCGTAAAATTCCTCTTTACTGACAGTTGCGCCGAAAAACGATTCAACGTTGGATTAACAATAAAAACAAAACCACTTCATGCTCACTTCTTCCCCGGAACATATTAAACAGAGGTGCCATTTTCTGTAATCCTCCCGCTCAATTTGTACAATATTTTACAATACAGCACGTCATTTCCCAGTATTTTTGGCGATCCTGATTCTAACTACTGTTGCTAGTTGAGTCACCATAGCGATCGTATCTAACGCAACCATTGTTATTTCTTTTGCTGAGGCCTAAAATCGAAGTTGGTTGAAAAAAGTGAAGGTGAGCTTGTTGGTTGCGCTTGAAGGGTTCAATCAGAGATTGTAACGGATGGTTGCACTGCTCTTATTGTTTATCTGCCCAAGTCAGTGCCGCTGTATGTCATCCTACCCACGTGTTGAATCCCCTGTGCGTTGTGCGTAACGGTTACTACAGTCACCATGCCGTTTACCCAGGTATAAATGCGCATGCGCATAGCTCTGCGTTGTCAATCAATCAACATGGACCAAAGATCTCTATTAACCGATTTAGCTGTTGTCATTTTTCTTCCATTTATTCGACTCCTGCTGGTGGGCGGGACTACAGTGACCCGCTGTTTACCTCCCGTCAAACGAAGTCACACACGAAACATAGCCGTCAACTGCATGCAGCGGGAAGGTCCCGTATATAGGCCTATTCCTGTCAAAATAGAGTTGTAAAATTAGTACATGGAGTGAAACACTGAGCTTTGACGGGCCAGAAGAGGATATAGACGGGATACTATCAATAAATTTGACAGCTGGTGCAGACACCTCAATCGGATAATGTGTCAGTGACGTTCACGGTACTACACACCACGCATTTTTGTTTCGAGAGTTTAACTGAGATACAGCTCGAATACTTACTTGTTGCTGCTTTCCCTTTGGAATCAGAAGATTTATATTGCCTTGGCTTGCTACTTCGTGTAAAGCGTAAGTGCGACTTATGACAGTTAACTAGCCTTGTTTTGATGTGTTTGCTCTAATTTAATTAACGCTTGTACCAACTGTCTAATAAAGGGAGAATTTTGTTTGTAGGCTGATGTTAATCGTGTGTGAAAGGACATACTAAAAGGGATTGGTTAAATCTCAGTTGCCAATAATTTTTCGATGATATTTTCCGAATTCCGATCAAAAGAAATGAATACTCCAACTTGTTAGCTGTTAATTACCATATTTCATTTTAATTTTTAACACGATGCCGAGGGAACTATCAGTCACTCAACACAATAAGCATTTGATATCCGAAACTTTGGGTGAGATCAGGTATAATACAATGCAGTTGTCTACAAGTGAAGCAATCTTCTATTTTATTAAAAAAATGTATTTTCATGTGTTGATTTCAAAGCAGAACGAAGTAATATAGAGACACAGCAATGTGTAAAGGTATCCCCGAAATTTGAAATTTTGAAAAGTGTGACAAGTCTTGCTTAACAAAGTAGACTTGTTTTTAAACGTAAGTTAACATCTTTCACATATATACAGGTACAAAGTATGTAATGTAATATTTGGGTTTATAATTTGCTCAGCTCTAAATTATTTTTTGATTAATTCAACAAAGTTACCCGCGAAGATTATCGTGTCATTTTGCATACTGCATTTACAGGTGTTTACTTGACTGGATTCGAAGCTTCAATGTCAGTGGAGCGAGCGCAGGTTGATAGCTTCGGCTTGTCTATTATGCATAAGCTCTCCAGGCTAAATCATGCAGACAGGATGGAGATTTTGGCCACAAAATCCAAGAATGGATGTATATATTGATTTTGTTTTTACATTGCAAATACAACCATTTGATCAGTATTCTTGATTCTTTGGTTCGGTTACAGATCCCCGTCATGATGCATGCTACAGCGATCACTTGCCTTATTTGTCTTTTCCCCGTTTGTGCCAGTTCTATTCCCGTAGATGAAGATTACTCTTCGAGTTCCTCAGACTACCAAAGTAGTGCAGAGTGAGTGGCAGTTTTCGATCGTTTTAGTTAAATAAGAGTTCACCCTCACAGGGCGCTTGGACGACAGTAATTTCACAATGCATAACGTCATCCGCCCCCAGTAATCACTGGATAGAGTTTAACACAAGTCGATACTTATGTTTGGGCTGCATTGATGTACATGTATTGATTAGGATATCAAGTAACCCTTTAAAGGATTAATGAAGGGTTATTAAAGGTTATTTATTAAAATACTTCGCATTTCATTAGTTGTGTCATACTTCATAAACTTCTGGGAACGGGCTTCTGCCCTTCCCAGCGCCTTTCTCCTTTCCAAAGGGCGGTCAAGACGAGTGAAAAGTAAGAGGAGTCCGTAACACTTAGCTGAATCAGAAGGATAATCAGTGACCATCTTGCCAGTGCCGTCTTTATTTAGGGCATGCATATACTTTCCTTTAAATCCAATGCACCTTGACAGTATTTGTAGCGTTTTGGGGGAAAATTTTGATCTGAGCCACCATCTTCACAGGTAAATTTCACTGCGGTTATTTATATCAAAACAGTGTTCAGGCAGTATTGCAGCCCCCCCCCCAAAAAATTCCTTAATCGCGACTGTCACAGTAAACAGAAAATCGATGTGTTTGTATCATTTCATATCTCTCACTATTTAAATTTAACAACTTAACTTTTGTTTTGTTTGTCAGCTACTTGCCCCTTCTTCCTGCGGAGGTGTTTGCATTAAATGACAAGAATGGAAATGGATTTATTACACAGAAAGAGTACCGAAAGGCAAACCCGGGCATGACAGATATCAAATCTAAACTTATCTTCGACAACTTTGATTGGGATAAAGACGGGAGAATTTCACTGAGTGAATTCACCTCACGAGTTCAGCATGATGATCCCAAGCCTCAAGGTAAGAGTCAATATTTTATCAGAAAATTGTGGTATTTTCCCTACATTTTATCACCACTTTCTCAGCCACCAATAAAGGAGCCTATACATGTTCTAGCAGCAGTGGTCAAATTAAAAAAGTTAGCACAGACAGTGTCACATTGAAAAAGAGGACTACGGGGGTAATAATACAGCTAAGCTAGTTAAATTGTTTAAATTTGTGGCAAAGAAGGTATTTGTGTAACTTCAAAAATGTGAGAGAAAATAGCTACTTAGTCGCACTGTCCAGATGCACTGATTTATTTATTTTATTAAGTCTGAAGTTGGAGCCACTCTTTACACAGCTCTGCCTCTGATAAATCGAGGGCGCCTCCCACTGACAGTGTTTCGTTGAAATACTGGCTGAAATAATTATTCTTGTCAGCAGTCCTCTCAGACACTGGCCCCAAACACCCACCAAATATCTTAAAGAGGGGCTTGAAAATACTCATTTGTACAAGGAGTGAGAAGTCAGAGTTAGAGAAAACCCCGAGATGTTTGGCTCACCTTGAAGGGTTATTTTGTTTAGTATCATGGCAAAGAGTGCAAAGCGACATGTGAGGTCGGATTTCGGTCTATTCATCACAGTGGACCACCAGCTCATTCAAATACTTCACCAGCCACCATCTATGAATTGTGTTACTGATACTTGATAGTCTACTCATGTTTGGAAGAGGACTGTCAAAAAGATGCATTTGTTTTGTCATGACTCTGCCATCTGAATCATGTGGCGTGGTACCCAGGCTCAGACTCTTTAGGCTCGCCTGATATCCTTTCTTCCGTTTGGACGAATTTTATCGACCCATATTCGCTTATTACCTGCTGTTTTAGTTGTGTGTGGTAGGTTAACTAATTGCGTGATGGAAATGACATTCCCGGTTCTGGAATAGTTATGTTCAACTCTTACGACTAGGCACCATACCCAAACCTGTGCGCGTTGTTAATAAGCATTACGTGTATGGGTTTCAGTCAACCGTTAATACGTGACCTTCTTATGACCAGCCAGACAGCAAATTCGAATTGTTCTTGGTCGTTTGGGCGAATCGACAATTTCCTATGCGGTCAAGGCGCATATCGATTTGCAAGCGTTCACATGTGGCATCTTTCTCGTCATTCATCTGGCAGTAAGACCCCCCATCAACTAAGAACTGTGGGAATTACAGGATACCATTGTGAGAGGTAGCGATGCGTTACGACCGTGTTTTGTTGAGAATAAGGTGGGCGTGTCACGTTCCGCTTCTGGCCAGGCAGAACCGGCCAATGAGAAAGCATTAAGACATCCTGCCACATCCTGGCCTTTTTAAAGCGAAGGAACAGCTTACAAAGATTGAGAGAAATGTATAGTGCTCAGTTGCAAAAGGAATAACAAAAATGCACAGATCTGACTCCGAGAAGAGCACTTAACGAGATACCATAAAACGGAACATGTTACTAAATTATTCGAGACGTATGTAAGGATTTCCCGATCCCCCGTTTTACTAGTATCCCTGAATAGTATATCTGCAGTTTTATACATGTAAAATGTTAAAATTCAAGTATCGTGTTTGGGACTGTTGTTGTAGTCGAATCCGTCACAAGTCCCTTCAGGTCCATCACAGGTCATCCAGTCTAAGTCAAGTTACATGATTCGAAATGAAAAGACCTTTGAAAAACCAAAGAATGAAAAAGTTATGTTGCTGTTTTTACTGTTTCTAAAGTTACGACTTGACTTGTAAAAAGAATTATAACTGGACTTTTAAAAGAACCTATGAAAGGACTCGGGGTGAACGATACACTGTTGCTATGCAGGCTGTCTGAAGTAACCATTTCCATACATACGACGCAAACTAATTATTTGTCAGTCGTACCGCGAAAAGATCTGACTCTGCAATTAAATCAGGACACTTTGTGAGCAGATTAAGGCGGTTCCCTGTTTCTCCTGATACGCCTAGTCCATCAGCTTGAGTTTCACGGATTCTTGCGTAGTTTGATTAATCTTAATAGTCCACATACTTCATGTAGTTCGGTTGCACTTAAAAGGGACATGGCATCACTGCATATTATGGCTTCTGATGCATCTATTTCCTCCGATAAGTTAAACCGACATTTGTCATTAAATATTTCCGATTAACCCACATTCCAGGAAATTGTATTGCTTCAATTATGAGAACCTGCAGCAGTGAGTTTATCGATGCAGTTCGGAAATGGGGCAACAAGCAAGGAGATGTCATGTGCCATTGTTTGCCAGTGAGTATTGTAGAACCGTTCACCACAATATTGATATTTGTTTTGAACTACATGTTCTGGTTTTGGGCATGAGTTTTCCTTGTTATTTTGAAGGTTCTAATCATAAAAACAATTATTGATCTCGAACATCATTAGTAACAGGAACTACTTGCTTATCACACCTGATCATGTTTGGACCAAGGGCAAGTATGATTCTTTAAAGAACCCTTACCGAGCCAGTTTACAAATAATTTATATATGCTAAGCCATATCAGAATCGAAATATACATTTCGTTTTAGAAGCAGGTAGCGAATCCAATCCAATAAGTTCGGAGAGTAGCTTTATATAAGAATATCGATTTCTTCAGAGGCCGGCATATTTTATTCAATGCATTGCAATGTCTACTGTATTTCCAATAGTCAGATAGGAAAATATCACTTCATGAGTGTGACATCACTTCACTCCTGTAACAATTTTTGTTTCATCAAGATCTACAGAGACTGCATCAGAAGTGAGAGGGCAACATGCACCATGGTGTCCCAGAAAGATCGTGAGGAAGAAGAAGTATTAAATGAACAAGTAGATGGGCTTCTGCGACGCTTCAAGAGGGCACTTTGCCAAGACATGTCACCCAGGGTAAGGCCATCAGTGACAGCCTTCATCAGTAACACGCCGGCATCGTCAAGATCAGTGTCAGAACCCAGAGGCGTCAGACAAGTCAGATCAATAAAAAGGGGTATGGTTTGAAATATTCAGTGCTTAATCATTCCAATGTCTAGTATCCTTGACCCTCAAAGAGCCCGGTTATTTTGGCCTCTCTCACGGGGGGAATGGTTCCGCATGTCCTTAGAGCTCACCTGTGTCACGCTCAATTTTTTTTAAAATTGGCATACATGGCACTCCTTATCATTACAAACGTAAATTGGTTTTGCTATTAGGGCCATTTAAAGTTCAAGGCTACACGCGTGCCAGCCTGCGTACGTTGAGCACCACAGTTTGAAAAAAATACGTATTTTTGGCTGACCTGTTTCGGGAAAAATGGGTGCTGCGCAACAATAATATGTTCGATTTTCACAAAATTGGTGTAAAAAAAGACCGCTAAGAGTTACTCTAAAAATCCTAAAGGCTCAGCTTCTGAGACAAAAGGACTTTAGCAATATCGAAAAAAAAGTCGAGGGAGGATGGTGCAGATTCAGCACCGGCTGTTTGAGGCTGAACACTTGATGTGTGAAGTAACAGCTCAAATCAAATGATAACACTTGAATAAAAATCCACTTACCCAGCAATGTTTGTGATTTCAGACTGTGGAGAAAGATAAAGTAAAGCATCATAATCTCTCCATTAAGCAAAAACACCTCCAGTCTCTGGTCAGGGGTCGGCTCGAAAAGTGGTGCGGCCACGAACCTTTTTTTGCCCTCACTTTTTTCCCCTAAAAATGATGTACATGTATGTACATGTATAACGCGCAAGTCCATCACCAATGTGCGTATGTACCACCGCTGGTAGACTGCCCCAACGCCATTGACCGTACTATTTAAAAGCGTTTTCAGCTTGTAGATGTACACAGGGCATAAGACCACCTGGTTTGTCTGGTTCCCAGATATAAATGTTTGATATAATGACGTCACCTGAAAAAAGGAAAGTGACCGACTAAATGTAGGCCCTATGGGGGCCTGGAGGGGCTCCTTTACTGTACATTTTCCCCCTTCTGAAACACGTTAACATTACACAGTAGCAGGATTCTAGTCGACCAAGCAAGTTTTACAGTTTTTTTTACATCTTATTATACCAAATAAAAACTCGGGCTGACCATAAACCGGAGGTCTTTTAGTCTTACTGCATATTTGAATACACAGAATATAATTCACATCCTACATGCCATTCATCCTGCTTATCCAACACATGAGCATAATTTTTATGATATTGAATTTTTATGAAATCATTATATTTCCCACAATAGAATTCAAGCGTTTTAAGTCAAGATCAAGGAGACAGAACTGCATTGTGTCAACTATGAAGCCATGCAATAACGTGTTTATTGCCGCACTACAAGCACAAGGAGAAGACCCTTGCCACAGTCTGGTCAAGTACAGACACTGCGTACACAAGAGCACAAGGCGGTGCAGTGACCCGAACTTGTCGCATATTCAGAGAGCCGTCAAGTTCCTAGCCAAGCAACACCGACGAGTCAAAATATGCGCCAAGTACGGCAAATAGAGGGCGCCGTATTAAATATACAGCAATATGAACTTGCCGGAACACTGCAAGTATCATCAAAGGCTAATACATTCTAATTGGAGTGTGCTCAGTATCTTAATTGATTACATCCCAGCATGAGTTATATTTATTTAAAGAAAATACTCCTGGACTTTGGGATATCCACAACCATTGAATTACAAATTTTCCATCATATAGGCCTATGTCATCACAATACGAGTAGTCTCATTTTATGGGGGTGGGGGTGAACGTAAATACACATACTATACAGCTGGTAGAACTTATTGACTGTAGTAGCTGTGCTGAAAGAGACATACAACAGTATCCTACCCTCAGAAGTTTACTGTACGTTCAAACATCACGGCCATTTGGGGGCGAATGACAATATGCATGCTTTATCAAAACAAAGTATGGGACTCGGAGGTCACTTACCTCTGTACAGGACCACTATGCTGTCTTTAATGCTTTTGGATCTCTTGCGTGCCCACAAGACAAATACGTTCATTTTTGTACATATACATCACTTATTTTATAAATATCGATAAACCGTTTGCAAACCCTGCGTCATCTTCCCTGCCATCAGACCAGTGTAGGCATGGAAAAAGAAGTTGTCTTGGGGAATCACGTGTATTATGTATAGCATTTTATTGAAGTTAAAAGTCCCTTTTTACTTTTATACAGTGTACAAAGTTGTTTTATACTGACAAGGTTATATCAAAAGCTTAAGAGTGGTTATCTTTTTCCTGTGTTGTAAATACTGTACAAACTCAACTTTCATTTTGCCCTTGCCTTAATGTTGCAAAAATAAAATGATTGTACAGTGTGTAACTTGTATTATAAACAGATAACTGATCTATCACAGTGATACATGTACTTAATGGAAACGACAGGAAGATGCAAGATAACATTCTTGCAACTATTCCTCCTTTTTAGAAAGATTTATTCTTCATTGAAGTTTTTAAATTTCAGAGTCAGTGTACCCTCCTTTGTAAAACTCAGACAAAGTTCATATTATTATTTATAGAGAATAGATATGAGTAACATAATAGTTCAGTTTATAATGTCTTTGAAATGTCACACGATGGTTCGCTATTTGGGGGATGCTGTTCAATTAAAACAGTAACAAGGTAATAAGCAGTCACTTATCAAGAGTGACAGACTCCTCTATAATAACCTACTAAGGATATAATACACCAGGCAACGCACATAACCGCTTATATATTGTAGTTATGTGATTATTTGGGCACAAAGGCAAATTCAGTAATAGAAGAAACTCCGTTGAATATTAACTACCTCATTTTTAGTAGATATATATATATATATAGACATATATACGTATATATTGTGAAGTGAGGGTAGTTAATTTACAACCTTATAAACTACTGTGTTAAACAGGCATATTCTGACACTTTCCTTCACTATGCACGAGTGCTTGTCGAACAGGCACCTTTATGGTCCCTTTATATATCAAACAGGCTCAGACATTCTATTTTGCCTTTAAGTAATTATATGTCAGGTCACGTCGTTACAATCATCTCTTCTCGCTTGAGAATGCCCTATTGTAAGAGGTTTTTCGATAAAAACCATAATGATTAAACGTGTTCACCTTATTTCTCACAAACACATCCAGAAAAATTATAAAATGTGTATCTTGAATGCCCTTTTGGCTTGAAAATGTTATTTTATATGTTTATGCTTGTCGTCTTGTGCTTTTCATAAATATTTCTCATAACTATGCGTATATACTCAGTCTGAATAAATATAAAACACTGCCATCAAATTGATCATAGTTAGGTCTAATACGTTCATTTAAAAAAAGTTTTTGTATTGATGTTTTCAGGGTAAATGGGAGAATTACATTTGTGAAGGACCGTTTATCAACCTATGATTAGACATTTTATTTAGATCTCAATCGGATTTGTAAAAACAGGATGTAATACAATCTTTATTTACAGTCAGTTTTTCCCAAATTTAACATCATTTGTATTGTGTTTAACCTCAATGCGATATCTTGTACTGCCCAGGTTGTATTCATTTTTTTTACTGAAAAAAATTAATAAAACGTGTTGTATCTCAGTTCACGATGTAAAGTATTAAAAATGGGAACTAACTGCACGCTTTAACTTCCAGTTTAAACATTATATTTAGGGAACTGTATATTATTTACTACAAGTATTATTTTGAAAGATGTTTATAAAAACCACACCACTGCCCGATCCATCCTCAAAAAAGACAGGGCAGGATTTACCAATAATTTGTTTTGTTTTTATCAAGAACATTACGAATATATAGTCAAGTTTTGGCATTTTCCTAGTGATCGTTTTAAATCTGTTCATTCAGTCATCGAGGGCGCTATTCATCGCAAACACCATTTTGTAAACAATTGCAGAACGGGATAATATTACGTTCATTGGAAGCTTGTTGTAACCAATTCAAGCTAGCTTGTATCGCCCGTTCTTTGTACTGCTAGTTGATTTCGGCTTATGCAAAACACTGCAGTTACACGTATAGCTATCCCGAACAGTCCCAAATCCTCCGATTTCAATACATGAAGAAAACGAAGAGCTCAGTCTTCGACATCTGTTTTTCTATGCATCTGTGATGACCTGTAATAAAATCAAAATGAAAAGTATCCATCATCAGCGTGCTTAATATTCTTGCTATAGTTGCAACTCATCCAGGGCGAAGAGGGGTTTGAAGGTTGGAAGACCCCTTGAAAGCATAAACAATGCAGGGTTTTTTTGTGTGTACCATCACAGCACCCACTACCATCGCCTTTTTAAGTTTCATTACTGCCAACAGCACGAGAGCCGCCAGTGACATCAACCTCACAATACGTGCCCCCATTATCACAGTGAATGTCACTGTCGCACGTGCCAAAGTTCTGCAATAAAATGATCATTCCAGCATACACTCGCATCAAGGTTGGTTTGTACTCAGCGCAAACACGAATTTGAAACTCTGACGTCATGATCAAATATTCGCGTTGCGAATTCGCAGAAGTTGAACACATTTCAACTCGGGCGAAATTTTGCTGCAAATTTTTCTTGACTTCAAATTTACCTCGTTTTCGCACTCGCCTGGAGCATAGAGCAAGGAGGCCTGAAGTGTGAACCGGCCTATATCGTTTCCTCGTGATCCCAATACACAGTCATACGCCCACTGTCTACGTTCATCCCCCTTCCAGTTTCCGTGATCTTGAGCGAACCTGTGGAGAAGGGTATCATCTCATCTCGCTTGACCAGTTGCCCAGACCTGTCCAAGAACCTCTCCGGGTTAGATATCCCTGGATCTCGCCATACCTTGGGATCAAATCCGAGCGCTCTTGTAACTGAATGCAGTGTAATGTAGCTTACGAGGAGAGTATCACGGGAGGTAGGGTGAGGTGCTCCTAGTGCATGGGACAACATTTTCTAAACGTAGAATCTCTAGAATTGTGGCTTTGGTGTAGCGGACATTGTGTATAATATATGTATTAATCATTTAATATTCATTTTTGGGGTTCCATTTGATTATCCTTATAATCTTGTTGAAACTTTAATCTACTTCAATTTCATGCAGTTTTAGAACACTGACAGTTTTTGTTGAAGATCCCTTAGCCCTAGTTCTGATCCCTAATGACTTTGCCTCCTGCTTCACATTCCTTTCTGGCCTGGGTGGCTGTACTTATAGCAAACTTCCTTTACTCTTGCTGACCAAATGTTCCCCTCGGGTATTAAAGTATAAAATTGTATCCCTTGAACTTTCTGCCTTGCAAATGTGGAAGCACTCGTTGGTTACATTTTTCTTTAAAAGGATTTCTGTCACAGTGTAAATAATTTTAATTGTAAACATCTTGTGCTCAGCCATAAATGATGTAAAAGAGGCGCGTACCAAGAAGCTTTATGTGTATTCCTTGGTTGGGTATGTGTCAGGAAATGGGAAAATGCATATTTTGAGTAGGTTATCTTGCATTTCTTTTTCTGCTCCCCTCGTTCCCGGGATATTTTCCAACCTTATGCAACTCAAATGGAACTATCTGTGGTATGCAATGGTGGGGGTCATGATGTTCGCCTCACTTGCTAATCCAGTCCATTGTTTTAGAGGAACTTTCCCACAGTCCTGACCAAGTATTTTTAGAAACAGAATTTCAGTTTTCATTGTTTGGGAGATTCATCAAACTGGAGGTTGCAGGTTGTTGGAACCTGGGAGAAAATCTGCTGATTCTGCTGATTAGCAAAGTTACACAATGAACTTTCAAAGATTTGACCAATGGGGAAGCTTATATGTAAATCAAACTTTGAGGAAGGTTTGGTCAAACTTGCAAGTGACCAATCATATTCTTGATGGAAATGCCCATCAAGAGACTGTAACAGGCATTTAAGAGCCTATGTCAGGGTCAGAACTGAGTCTGCAACACCACCCAGCAGACCACTGGTCAACAGCCCGACACTCAAGTCTACACGGTAGCCATATGGGCTCAAGTGGCATCTGTGTTAAATTGTGTCGAGGCAGATGTAGCCAGTAGTAGGAGAGAAGCCAAGTTAGCATATCCAGGGGTCCGTCCGTCCGTCCGTCCGTCAGTCTGTCTGTCTGTTTGTCGACTCATCAGATTGGTCCGTCTACCCATAGACCATCCAATCAGTCTGTTAACCCTATTTTCTTGAGGAGAGCTTCAATAAAGATTTCGTCAGTTGTAGAGTCCGTTAATCGCGGTCGTATCAGTGAGAACCTTGCGCTTGCGGCGCAGAAACCCATCCGGCAGCCGGCCGGAGAATACGACAAAATTGGTGTCAGAAGTGGGATCGCGACACTGTTGAACTTGAACTGACGAATATTCTTCTTTTAGTTTGACGGACCCCTGGATATCACCTCTCCGGACTGTGGACTCTAGTCCAGTTTACCAGCAGGAGCGGAGACCACACAGGACTTCCCTGCACACATCACATCTCTAGTTCAGTAGTTGGACATCCCAGCACCGGCGAGATCACCACTCAAGAACTTGTCTCCATGCAAGGATCAAGTCCCATGGCAGTAGGCCTGTTCTGGTTAATTTTTCTTGCATAATTATTGTACGTGTATTGACAAGTGTATAGAAAATAGCGTTTTAAAGGATTGGATAAAATTCAAAATTGCTCTTCTGGCTTAAAATCTCGTCTAGCATTCTCGGTACTGTTGATTTCGATTGAATTCTGATTGTTGATGTAAAGTGGGTCTAGTGATTAAGTGCTGCTTTATGATCAACATCTTGAGAGCCTTTCCCACTGGATATGGTTCTGTCTGATGTAATTTCTTTTGGTTATAGAAATTACGGTTGCTTTGGCAACGGGCTTGTTTCCCTTTTGGGGGTCAGAAGATTTAATGGGGTTTGTTTCCATAGAATTCTGTTCTGTTGGTGTAGAGTAGTAACAATATGCTACTGTATTATCAACGTCGTGTGGGACTTTTCTTAACTAGAATTGTTCCGTCTGTTTGATTTTTTTTTAAATCGTAGTTGTCGGTTGACAACGGTTCGACCCTCTCGTGGGGAGTCTGAGAATTTAATTAGAAAAAGTTCAGTACGGTTGGAGATGCTGGTGTTGGTGATGTGAATTTGATTTTTTTAGTTTCACTCAGTGAAATCATTTATTTGGATGTAGTTTAAGTCAGATCGGTGTCCTGTGAATCTACGCTGATTATTTTGTATTTGTCGAAAGATTTTTTGAAGTTATATACTTTTCTGATTTTGGCCCAGACGTACTCGTGTTGGTGATCAGGAGTTGACATAAACTCCTTAATAAAACCGTGACATTACTCAATTTTGTGATTATGGAAGGGGCAGTTGGCGCAGGAGTCATGGCTGAGGCAAAGGCATAGGCACTTGCCAATGTGTTTCGGAAAGTAGGAATTCAGCCGGGTCCAACTAACCACCTCACGAAATTTTATATTTCCCCGCGTAAATCTGGTGATTTATCAGTTGGTGAGTGGTTAGAGGAGGTCCTGTATGCTCCTGTCGAAGCACGACAGGATTTAGATCACTAGCTTACTCAAGGCTAGGTTTGCACCACATGAGTCGAAGATCCTTTCCACTTCGGGGTATTTCTTTCACAAAAAACCCAAATTGCCGGCCTATTTTGGATAGAGGCAGACGGCTACATTCAGAGCTGAGTGCATAGTTTTACTACTCTTTGTGGGGTATCTTGGGGGAAAGGTGAATAAAAAAAAATCATGTGGCTAACCCCCATAAAATTGAAACGATCGTCTGGCCACAGTCTTGAATTCCCAGTGAAAAAAATGCGGCGCTATTTCGGTCTGATTTGGCACTGTTTTCTATGGATGCACGCGTATTTGGTGTAGCACAACCATTGATCTCCATAATAAAGACTGAATAGGTCATCGCCCATTGTGTGTGTACAAAATGTGCGGCCGTACTATGGCGGCGGGCTGCGTTTCAGCCTGTGATGCCGTATGGTGCGCATTTAGTCAAAATTCATTATGGAGAAAAAAATTGTAATGCAAGAATATCATTTCTCGAATTAACAGACCATTTTCTTATTAACCCACTCAAAACTGATAATAATTAACATGTTTTTTTCTGTTTGTTGTGTTTGTTTTTGTTTTTTCTTCATTGTTCACACCTCTTGTCTACAGTCTTGCTCAGGTAATGTTGTCACTTTGGGTTGGTTTGCATTTGATCGTGATTTGTTGAGTGTGAAAACATTGAAATTCCACCAAGACCCAAAAGAGGTTTTACATTATAATATCCAAGCTGTCTACGTGTTTTTCCGTCTGGTGTCAATGAGTCAACACTCAAAACCCCCATCAAGTAAATGAAAAAAGCCTTGATTCTAATTTTAAAGAATCACGGGAAACACTGTACTGAAATTCATTCACATATTGAATAAATTTATAAAAAACTTCATAAGTGTGAGAATCTTTTCTGTGAACTCAAAATGAGCAGAACTTTGACTGCGAGCCAAACTAATTAAATCTGTGCCACTTTTATCACAGACATAAATCAAATTTTAAAAAATTAGTTCCCAACTTGACTAAAGATTTACCTTTAACAACGACTTTCTGAAAAGAAAAAGATCAGTGTTAACAGAGAAAGAACAATTTTATAATTTAGACAAAGTTTCTTTCATTGGGTTGATTGAATTTCCTTGTTTGTTACTTCACTCGACGAAAATGTCAGCTCTCTTTCTCTCACTCTAGTTTCATCTCTGCCCTGAAGATGGATATTCCGTCTATCTTATCACATCGTCTGTCACACGATTTTGGTTCAGTGCGTCTGCAGATCTCACATACACAAATCATGGCTTTCTTCGAGATTTTTCCAGTGAAACTTGGGGAAAATAAACGACAAATCAATCATTCAGTTTTTAAAACCACTTTTGCCGATAAAAATATTTCAGACGGTCCCAAGCATTATGGCACAAGGCGTGCAGAAACCTTCTGAATGTGCGACTCACATGTCAAATGCTGCTCCTTCTTCCAAACTTGATTTTATCATCGATCTCTAGCAATTCTCTGCTGTGCACACCTCAACCATTATTCTTTCCAAATGTACCCATTCCGGGGGCAGAGATCAGTTTTTCTTCGAAATCTGACGATTGAAGTACAATAACCTCAACCAGCAGTTTTGAATCTCCGTATGAAAGGGCACGCAACAAA